AAACATACAAATCATTGTTAAGTAAATGCGTACGGTAGGATAAAATCATGAAACATGACCCGAATATTTTAAACTCATATAACAAAACAAAAGCAAAGTAGAATATAGGGGGGAAATTCTACCAAATGAACTATTTACCTCGTAGAGAATGTTGTTTTAAAAGATGATGGAAGTGTGAACGATTCGACAACAGTGGCTAGTCTCTTTAACCAATACTTTTCGAGAATTGCTGCCGATCACACTAAGGGTCTTCAGCCACAAAATTCAGCATCAGACGTTTCCCCAACAATTTTAGACACGATGTTCGTTTCCGAAACTTCTTCCTATGACATTCTCAAAATAATCGGTAGACTAAAAAATAAATATTCGACCAGTTTAGATGATTTTCCGGAGTATTTGTTAAAGACTTGCGCGCCCGCCATTATATACCCGTTAACTCACATATTTAATGTATACTTATGCACTGGATTTTTCCAGATATTTTTAAAACCGCTAAGATTAAGCCGCGTTTCAAAAAAAGCAACAAAAATGAAATTTAAAATTATCGGTCAATTTCACTTTTGTCTTTTTTTTTTAAATATTAGACATTTTTACGTACGAATGGGAACATTTCTTAGTAAACAAGATGCGTTTTCAGATTGTCAACATGGGGTTTCAAAAATCAAAATCTACGGAAACAGCCATTTTTCTTAAAGATGTCACCTCATCCATCGATCAAAACAAAGCTTTGGAATATTTTTAGATCGTTCAAGAGCTTTTGACTCCATTGATCATAACATTTTATTTTCAAAATTACCTTCGTATGGAATTCGTGGTATTGCTCTAGATTGGTTATGTTAATACCTTAAACAACGACCTCAAAGAGTAGAAATATCTTTCCGGAATAATGGAACATTATGTACACACATTTCTGATTCTTTGCCAATTGCATGTGGAGTCCCGCGGGGATCGATATTAGTCCCTATTCTCTTCCTACTATACGTAAACGATATGCCATCGACGATTAGAAACGGAAGAACACTACTCTTTGCGGATGATACGAATAATCTTTGCAATAAAAAAACGTAAATAGTACAATATCAGATATTTCAAATTGGTTTCGTAATAACAAATTAATAGTAAATTAAAAGAAAACTGTTTCAATGCAGTTTTCCATTTGAAATAAACAGCTCTGCACTCCACTGAAACTCAACGGTGTGTCATTGACTGATGTTAAGGTAACAAAATTTTTAGGTCTTTCAATTCAGTCAAACAATAAATGGAACATTCATTTAAATGAATTGAGCAGTAAATTAAGTTCTTTATGCTAGGCTTTCAGCATTCTCTCAAATTCAGTCAGCCTCCATACTGCTCGTTGTGTATATTTCGCGAATGTTCTTTCCCACCTGAGATATGGCATAATACTCTGGGGAAACACATCTTATAGATCCCAGACTTTTAGATTACAATAAAGAATTGTACAAATAATAAGCAAATTCCACCTACGGGATTCTTGTAAGCCTCTCTTTATTAATCTAGGTATTTTACCATTAACGTGTCTCTTCATATATGAATTAGAGATTTTTGTCAAAAATTACTTACTAAAGGCCGGAATATATTTTCAGCAAACGTCGTAGTCTATAACTACAACACTCGACGTAGTAATCTTATTCATCAAGCCCCAACAGCCCACTACAAAAACTTACATATAATACATGCATTTTACAACACCTTGTCGGATGACATTAAACGATTAAACTCAATGCAAACATTTAAGTCCCAAGTAAAGTCATTTCTGCTGCACAACTGTTCCTATACAATTAGTGACTATACCGAGCATCCAAATGAAAGTAATATTAATTTTAACAATGACATTTAATATATTATCTACCATTTGTATTGTATAACTCTAAAGAACCTGTAACAAGTATTGCACTTCAGCTTCTGGGCCAATGACACCCATCTCGATCTGTTTGTTTTTTTTTTTTTTTTTTTTTTTTTTTCAGTTTTCCTGCTCCTTGAGCAAATGCTGAGGTGGCCCCTTGTTTTGCTTCTGAACATAAATGTGACTTCAAATTAACTTCTTTCCATAGCACATCACACACAGTTTTTAACAGTTTTTGACGTAAATAAATAAATATAATCATTGCCTTGGGATACAAAACCACATTGTATATTACAATGAGATTTCTCATGAGGTCCAAGTATTTGTTGAGGTGCGTAAGTCTATTGGTTTTCTGTAGCCACATAGCTGGGGCATGACAAGCGAACACTCGTATGAACACTGTAGTAAGACATTAGAGTATAAGCCCTGAACAAATGGTTTGTGTTTGGTTTACTTACCATGATATGGTTAAGGTACCCATTTAAGCTTGTCATGCCCCAGCCCCAAACAATCATTCAAGCTCTTTCAGCTAAAAGCATTTGCTCTTTGGTAAGGCTCCGCAACTTAATAGCAACCTCTTTGCCAATCATATCGAAACTGTCTTCTTCAACTCAGGGCTTCTTAGAATTACCACTCACCTGCGTCAACACCTTTTCGCTACCCCTTTGGTCTTATATTTTTTATCTACTCTCTTGCGATGTTGCCTTTGAGAAGTTGGTGGCGCAGAAGAATTGATGCCTGAAATTGATTGTTGGTCATCCATTAGTAAATATTATATAAAAATAATAACTAGTGGACGTGGCAATGCTTCGTTATTGTAATTCATTACAATTCACAAAATTAATGGTCACATGATTGTTATTCACGTTTTACGCTACGCTCTGCCAAAATTATGATAGATTAAAGAATTTTTAACGAGTTTGGGTTTATTATATGTTCTGGTTTGGACATGGTTATCAAGAATTCTTTTGTTAAATGGTTCTGCTTCAAGTTTGAGCATGCATTCGCTGTAACACTGTCTTGGAGAAATTGGACTTACTTGTCCGACATTTCAAGTAATTTCGAGATTCAAGTAATAATTCCGGCCGATATTTCATAATCTCCGGTAGGAGAATATGCAGCGAAAACACACTTAATACTTGAAAGTGCGGCGGGTTGCGTAGAGCTTCTGTTCAGGAGCGCCTGAGTCAGCATAAACTAATAAAATCAACGCCCCCATTTTGCTTCTAAGTGCGACAAACATACACACATTCCCATTGTAATACGCCTATATTCTTCGCGCAAGTGCAAGAATTAAGTTGACAAAGTTTTATCACGAAAAATAGAAATACGAACAAAGATTAATTTTTATATATTATGTATTTAATTTTCGATTGTTCCTATATTTTTTCAATATTTTAGAAGTTTCTCAAAAGAAAAGAAGAGTGGAAGGAAATAACGAAAGATTTCGAAATGAATTGGAACTTCCCACACTGCCTTGGTGCTATGGAAGGCACCAATGAATAGTGCTACCAGCCTACATTCTTCGAAGTAGTGGACCGGCGTTCTATAATTACGAAGGTAAACATGGCATTGAAGGCACAAAAGTGACCTGATGAAACTATTCTGGCATGCTGACCTTATCTCACAAAACCAGGAAATATATAACTATTACCTGTCGGGAGCATGGCCTATAATAGAAAATGACTCGCACGGTTCAAAGTATTCAGCACAGTTACACACTTGAAACCACGTAACATTCAGTCCTTAGTTATGGCTTGCTGTATGCTTCACAATTTTTAAATGAAAAAGATTTCTAGTTTTTACTCTCGTCTGAACGCTTTGACCGGGAAAATACAGAGAAACAATATGTGAAGGATATAGTGCTCATGATTACATACGCGGCTTTAGCCGAAGAAATAGAGGAAATACAGATGCCTCAGCAAAAGATATAAGATATGAGTTCGTCAATTACTTTTCTAATGAGGGTCATGTTCCTAGGTAAAATAATTTCATAAAAAATATACAAAACCGTGAATTTCGTTGTATAAGATAAATTTACAAATTGTATCTAAACAAGATAGAAATTGTAAGATTAACAAGATCTAAATACAATGAACTAAAAGTATAGGTTTCACTAAAATTCTGTACTAATTGTTTGTTACAATTTTGTTATGTAATCAAATAATATATAATAAATATTACTTACGTCTGTCTCATAAGTTTTTTCTTCATTACATCTATCATCATCACTCTCCACATATAAACGAAAAGTTCGGGAAATGTCTTGATTAGACAGAAAGCTAAAAGGAAATACAGGCATTTATAAACGTAAATAAATAATAATACAACTTTATGCAAGAAATAAGTAAATGACATTATGTGATGCATTTAAATCTATAAACCCTTACCTCATCATTGGAAAGTACTACAACTTAAGCTTGTGGAGATCTGTAGATGCGCCTGACTTCAAAGACAGTTTAATTTTCTCATTTTTTTCGAATAGAGCTTCTCATGTTGTTATTTTTTTTTAATAACATCATCTTTCCAGTACACTACACCATTGTTTTTCGACCAGTTTGGTGTAAGCGACATCCTTTTTATTTCGATTATGATAATCTTTAGAACTAACTTGCCACAAGCAAGACTCATTCTCAAACATTTGGATGAATTCAGTTCAAACTTCGCGAGACATGACTGAAGACATGAACTGGAGAACGACCAAGCATTAATCACACACGCGATCAAGTGGTCGGGAAAATCCGGACTCAAGACCAAAAAGAATTTCATTTGGTTCGGAATTTTTCGCTCTCACCTCCTCCGCGGCCTGAAGGAAACTGCCGCATTCATTGGGAAATTCTTGAGGGCTTGAAGTAAGCTTTGAGAAATTCCCGCTTGTGTATGAGGCCCTTTAGATGAAGTAATTTACTGCATATAGGAACAGTATTTATGAACTTCTTCGTTACCAGGGCCAATAAGAGTTTTTCTGGGGAAAATTTGTCTTTTTCTAGAGCACGATTCCAATACTTTCTCTTCTTACGAAGTACTTTCGTAGGGGCGAGAAAGATATTCTTTATTGATTACGGTATTGATTTACTTGCATGCTACCATGATGCGCGCGTGGCGCCGCAGAAACAGTTCTTCTTTTTGTCACTTGATGGCGCATTGGCCCAATCCAGAACATAGAGTAGAGATTGTATCTCTCCTCTATGATCCAGAAGTGACCAGAAGTTCGTTCCCGTATGCAACTCGTATGCGAGGGCCTACTGGGGCCCAGCCTGCCACAGCCTGCCGAATGCGATGTAATTTGCTGTGTGGCGAGGCAGGGTGCGGCTATTATATAGTGGCTAGTAGCACGGAAATGTCAGTGTGACAGATAAAGTTTGTGTTCATTATTTCCTTTCTTTCATGAAGGATATGCGAATGAAGTGAATGTCTTATGACAGAAAACAACAGAAAACAATAAGACATGTCTGCGTGTGTAGTCAATAATTATTTCACTCTCCCGTAACATGTAATAACGTATTGTGAATTGTATAGCAGAGTAGGTAATGTTTACGTGAAAAACATTTACAATTTGGTTTTGTTGTTAAAGGCGATCAGCTATTTCTATGTAACAATTTATAACCTTTATAATGTTATGTGATCAGATCTGGATTGTTTTGCGGAAGAAATATATTTAAATCAAGTTAGTACAAATTCATTTTCGTGGAAAAGAACTCTGGAAGACTTCAAATAGATTATCTATATTATTACGTGAATATGTTGTACGGTGGAATAACTAACAAAGAAATGGGAGTTGTAATTCCGTTCATGGAAACTATAATAACGTCCGTTGGTGAACATTTCCCTAATATGCAAGACTTGTGGAAGAAAAATAGGGTGTATTGCCCTTATGGAGAAGGGATTAATATTGTTCCTATAGTCTTCACGTATTTTATTGCGTTTATATTTATTTACCTACTTTATGCAAAGTGTC